GTTTCCCGAAGATTTGAATGACATACAGGGTCAGTCCCTAGGCGTCACTAATGCATATCACTTTACTGGACCAAACTAATTTGTACTGGGTTTTGTTACCTTGGAGTGCGGTTTTTTTGTTTTTTGTAGATACTTTTTTATACAGGCCCAAATTAGTCTGGTATTTTAAAAATTAAATTATATGTCACTCCATTAATTGGTGCCCAAAACTTGGTACCGTTTAATGTTATTGTCAAAAAGAACTTCTGTATGTTCTTTATCGAGAGAAAAACAGATAAGTTGCTATTCATTTAGGTTTAAAAAAAACACAATTACATTGTAAAAGATGTATAATTAACTTTTGTAAATTTTGTTTATATCATAAAGTATCTGTTAATGAAAAACTGCAGAAGACTTTAAACTAAAGAATCACAATCCTATCCAATGTGGATAGTAGTAATCTGTATAATTTGAGCTGTGCATTGAACAAGCTAAACTTCCCTCCTTACATGGCCATTTGTAATACAAAACATTACCATCTGTAAGCCATCCGCACCACCAACTAAATGTACCTACAGTCGCTATAAAATGATCGCACATAGATACAGTTGCCATGTCAACCTCCGAACTATGCCCTTCTAAATATGCAACGGTGATTTGATTTGGCAGATTATTCTTTGTCCAATCAATTCCATTAGATGCTACAATAAATTATACATTTGAATATTTTGACTCATACCACTTAACAGCTTGATATAGATACTCTCTTGTCGCCGGTCTGAAACCTTCGTCGTGATCTACATAATCACCTCGACGAACATGAACCCCGATTAAAGTCACCTTTTGTCGGGAAATTATTTTAAATCTATTGAGGACTCTTTTCATCGTTTTGTTTGCTTCGGACTGTATATTGTCTTTGAATAAAAACTGCTTCCTGAGTTCACTGCTGTTTTTGTCAAAATACAAATATGATTGTAAATACGACACTAAACGCACATCATGAGAATTTGTGAAATTGACTAATTTTTTGTCATAAATAGCTGCTTTTTCTTCCACCCGTGTTATAATGCGACTCCTGTCAAATATCAAACTATCAATCGGAACCACACGGACCACTAGTTTGAATATTTTTCTAAGAGGAAAATATTCAGTAATGACAGGTATCATTCCTTTAGATCTTGCTATTCCTAGGGCAGATGCAAATTGAAACATATGATTTCCCATTCTACTCCTTGCGACAACACATATACTACGTGCGATCTTTTATAGAAAATAAGAGAATTTGTTGTGCGGACTAGTAAATCTGTCTTCTGTTTAAATGCTATGTTTAGCATTGCAGCAGAGACAATCAGCAGTATGAAGCCACAAAGAAGGAAAACGAATACTGAAAAAAATAAATAGTAATACTAAGATAAACCATAGCTTATCTATTCTGATGCACCTTACGACAATTACTCGTATGTTGTGCTAGACTTAAATATTGATACATTCTATCTTAAAAATACAAGATCAATTAAACCATTATAACACAATAAATAAAAGAAGCCCAACCCATCTAAGGAATATCTTCGTTACAACATTTTGTTTTACTTTGATCGCAAATATATTTTTTTTTCATTTTAAAGAGACAATAAATGCAAAAGTTGAGTAGCCCCCATAACCTTATACCTTTAAAAATTAGATCTAAAGATAAGAAAACATATGGGTTTGTTTTTATAACTATGGAAATAGTCCTTTTCTAGCTATTGGGACAACACATAAAACGTGATATCTTGTACAGAAAATTAGAAGATTTGTCTGGCAAACTAGTAACTGTTTTTTTATTAGATCTATTCTATGTTCAGTATTGCACCAAGGAAAATCAATAGTATAAAGACATATAGAAGGAAAACGATCACTGAAAAATATAGAAAATATAGAATAGTAATACTAAGTAAAATGATATCAAATTTAATCTGAAGCACAAACGAGCATTCCGAAGTCTTATTGCTCGTATGTTGTGATTGACTTACATTTCGTTTAAATATTTTTAATGAGACAATACATATAGAAGATGGATATTGTCATACTCATTTAACTTTAGTATAAATACTGAATATAAGAAAACATTTGGATTTGGATTTATAACGATGTAAATGGTACATCCTAGTTTTCACCGGCATACCCACCTGCAAGAATTTGAAAAGTTGATTTTAAAACTAAGGAATCAAGTTTATTTATTTATGCAATGATTTCTTAGTTATTGTTTGACATAAAAATGGAACGTCGAAGATAAAGACCTTTTTTAATGCTTAATTTGTCCTATATGAAGTCAATGAAAAGAATTGCACATGGACATTTTTCATAAAAAAAATCCAAATCTTTATCCCTGAAACGCTTACCTGGTGTATAATCCTCAGAATGTCACTTGTGTTAGCAAATACGTTCACTAATGTAATCAAAGGGAATACATTTTCACTAATTGCCTTAATAAGTTGCAAGAATGTTAACAATTATAAAGATGGGAATTGCTTTATAGAGCACCCAGATACTAATATCTTAAATTTCGCTTTTGACAGTACAAATTCAAAAACATGAAATCAATTCAAACATGTGAACTTAGTAAATTTTGTACCAAATTGCCTGTAACAGTAAATAACATTTAAGATAAAGTACAATATGTTGCTTATAAATTTACTTACTACTGATTTAACTTTTTACAAGTAAAATTATTGTAATGTCTTTAGTAAAATTTCATTAATTTCAATATTTTTAAATGAAGGAACTTATCTTAAATAAATCAAATTTAAACGGTAATAACTGTCCTTCCCTAGATTTAGATATTTTAGTCACCAGAAACTCTACACAAAAATTTTCGACAAAAAGGACGATTTTGCTTTCCCTATTTTTAATTTTCCTTTTTGAGATGGTGATATTCCTTCTGCACCAACTCATTCGATATGCCCGTGTCTGTAGTGACGTTTTGGATTTCAAAGAACGTGTTCTATGTATTACTGGTAAATTATTAAGTCAGGGATTTCGTTACCACACATTACTTAAACCTTTACTAAATTCTTCCATAGATACAAAGATTTGGTTTGGAAGTTTGGCTGTACCTGTAGACGGGATAGTACATCCTAATTTTTACGGAGATGTTATTTACCGAGCCCGGAAATTTAGATACGATCCGGGTAAACTAATCGATCCTTTTAATAAGCTTTTTATAAAAGGTTACCAATTCAACGTTGTAATTAGATATTTAAATATTGTTTTTTATTGGTATAAATATTGATTTTGTTATCAGTTATACATTTGTGTCTCTTGACTCATACCGCTTAACAGCTTGATAAAGGTACCCTGTATAATTTGAGCTGTGCATTGAACAAGCTAAACTTCCCTCCTTACATGGCCATTTGTAATACAAAACATTACCATCTGTAAGCCATCCGCACCACCAACTAAATGTACCTACAGTCGCTATAAAATGATCGCACATAGATACAGTTGCCATGTCAACCTCCGAACTATGCCCTTCTAAATATGCAACGGTGATTTGATTTGGCAGATTATTCTTTGTCCAATCAATTCCATTAGATGCTACAATAAATTATACATTTGAATATTTTGACTCATACCACTTAACAGCTTGATATAGATACTCTCTTGTCGTCGGTCTGAAACCTTCGTCGTGATCTACATAATCACCTCGACGAACATGAACCCCGATTAAAGTCACCTTTTGTCGGGAAATTATTTTAAATCTATTGAGGACTCTTTTCATCGTTTTGTTTGCTTCGGACTGTATATTGTCTTTGAATAAAAACTGCTTCCTGAGTTCACTGCTGTTTTTGTCAAAATACAAATATGATTGTAAATACGACACTAAACGCACATCATGAGAATTTGTGAAATTGACTAATTTTTTGTCATAAATAGCTGCTTTTTCTTCCACCCGTGTTATAATGCGACTCCTGTCAAATATCAAACTATCAATCGGAACCACACGGACCACTAGTTTGAATATTTTTCTAAGAGGAAAATATTCAGTAATGACAGGTATCATTCCTTTAGATCTTGCTATTCCTAGGGCAGATGCAAATTGAAACATATGATTTCCCATTCTACTCCTTGCGACAACACATATACTACGTGCGATCTTTTATAGAAAATAAGAGAATTTGTTGTGCGGACTAGTAAATCTGTCTTCTGTTTAAATGCTATGTTTAGCATTGCAGCAGAGACAATCAGCAGTATGAAGCCACAAAGAAGGAAAACGAATACTGAAAAAAATAAATAGTAATACTAAGATAAACCATAGCTTATCTATTCTGATGCACCTTACGACAATTACTCGTATGTTGTGCTAGACTTAAATATTGATACATTCTATCTTAAAAATACAAGATCAATTAAACCATTATAACACAATAAATAAAAGAAGCCCAACCCATCTAAGGAATATCTTCGTTACAACATTTTGTTTTACTTTGATCGCAAATATATTTTTTTTTCATTTTAAAGAGACAATAAATGCAAAAGTTGAGTAGCCCCCATAACCTTATACCTTTAAAATTTAGATCTAAAGATAAGAAAACATATGGGTTTGTTTTTATAACTATGGAAATAGTCCTTTTCTAGCTATTGGGACAACACATAAAACGTGATATCTTGTACAGAAAATTAGAAGATTTGTCTGGCAAACTAGTAACTGTTTTTTTTATTAGATCTATTCTATGTTCAGTATTGCACCAAGGAAAATCAATAGTATAAAGACATATAGAAGGAAAACGATCACTGAAAAATATAGAAAATATAGAATAGTAATACTAAGTAAAATGATATCAAATTTAATCTGAAGCACAAACGAGCATTCCGAAGTCTTATTGCTCGTATGTTGTGATTGACTTACATTTCGTTTAAATATTTTTAATGAGACAATACATATAGAAGATGGATATTGTCATACTCATTTAACTTTAGTATAAATACTGAATATAAGAAAACATTTGGATTTGGATTTATAACGATGTAAATGGTACATCCTAGTTTTCACCGGCATACCCACCTGCAAGAATTTGAAAAGTTGATTTTAAAACTAAGGAATCAAGTTTATTTATTTATGCAATGATTTCTTAGTTATTGTTTGACATAAAAATGGAACGTCGAAGATAAAGACCTTTTTTAATGCTTAATTTGTCCTATATGAAGTCAATGAAAAGAATTGCACATGGACATTTTTCATAAAAAAAATCCAAATCTTTATCCCTGAAACGCTTACCTGGTGTATAATCCTCAGAATGTCACTTGTGTTAGCAAATACGTTCACTAATGTAATCAAAGGGAATACATTTTCACTAATTGCCTTAATAAGTTGCAAGAATGTTAACAATTATAAAGATGGGAATTGCTTTATAGAGCACCCAGATACTAATATCTTAAATTTCGCTTTTGACAGTACAAATTCAAAAACCTGAAATCAATTCAAACATGTGAACTTAGTAAATTTTGTACCAAATTGCCTGTAACAGTAAATAACATTTAAGATAAAGTACAATATGTTGCTTATAAATTTACTTACTACTGATTTAACTTTTTACAAGTAAAATTATTGTAATGTCTTTAGTAAAATTTCATTAATTTCAATATTTTTAAATGAAGGAACTTATCTTAAATAAATCAAATTTAAACGGTAATAACTGTCCTTCCCTAGATTTAGATATTTTAGTCACCAGAAACTCTACACAAAAATTTTCGACAAAAAGGACGATTTTGCTTTCCCTATTTTTAATTTTCCTTTTTGAGATGGTGATATTCCTTCTGCACCAACTCATTCGATATGCCCGTGTCTGTAGTGACGTTTTGGATTTCAAAGAACGTGTTCTATGTATTACTGGTAAATTATTAAGTCAGGGATTTCGTTACCACACATTACTTAAACCTTTACTAAATTCTTCCATAGATACAAAGATTTGGTTTGGAAGTTTGGCTGTACCTGTAGACGGGATAGTACATCCTAATTTTTACGGAGATGTTATTTACCGAGCCCGGAAATTTAGATACGATCCGGGTAAACTAATCGATCCTTTTAATAAGCTTTTTATAAAAGGTTACCAATTCAACGTTGTAATTAGATATTTAAATATTGTTTTTTATTGGTATAAATATTGATTTTGTTATCAGTTATACATTTGTGTCTCTTGACTCATACCGCTTAACAGCTTGATAAAGGTACCCTGTATAATTTGAGCTGTGCATTGAACAAGCTAAACTTCCCTCCTTACATGGCCATTTGTAATACAAAACATTACCATCTGTAAGCCATCCGCACCACCAACTAAATGTACCTACAGTCGCTATAAAATGATCGCACATAGATACAGTTGCCATGTCAACCTCCGAACTATGCCCTTCTAAATATGCAACGGTGATTTGATTTGGCAGATTATTCTTTGTCCAATCAATTCCATTAGATGCTACAATAAATTATACATTTGAATATTTTGACTCATACCACTTAACAGCTTGATATAGATACTCTCTTGTCGTCGGTCTGAAACCTTCGTCGTGATCTACATAATCACCTCGACGAACATGAACCCCGATTAAAGTCACCTTTTGTCGGGAAATTATTTTAAATCTATTGAGGACTCTTTTCATCGTTTTGTTTGCTTCGGACTGTATATTGTCTTTGAATAAAAACTGCTTCCTGAGTTCACTGCTGTTTTTGTCAAAATACAAATATGATTGTAAATACGACACTAAACGCACATCATGAGAATTTGTGAAATTGACTAATTTTTTGTCATAAATAGCTGCTTTTTCTTCCACCCGTGTTATAATGCGACTCCTGTCAAATATCAAACTATCAATCGGAACCACACGGACCACTAGTTTGAATATTTTTCTAAGAGGAAAATATTCAGTAATGACAGGTATCATTCCTTTAGATCTTGCTATTCCTAGGGCAGATGCAAATTGAAACATATGATTTCCCATTCTACTCCTTGCGACAACACATATACTACGTGCGATCTTTTATAGAAAATAAGAGAATTTGTTGTGCGGACTAGTAAATCTGTCTTCTGTTTAAATGCTATGTTTAGCATTGCAGCAGAGACAATCAGCAGTATGAAGCCACAAAGAAGGAAAACGAATACTGAAAAAAATAAATAGTAATACTAAGATAAACCATAGCTTATCTATTCTGATGCACCTTACGACAATTACTCGTATGTTGTGCTAGACTTAAATATTGATACATTCTATCTTAAAAATACAAGATCAATTAAACCATTATAACACAATAAATAAAAGAAGCCCAACCCATCTAAGGAATATCTTCGTTACAACATTTTGTTTTACTTTGATCGCAAATATATTTTTTTTTCATTTTAAAGAGACAATAAATGCAAAAGTTGAGTAGCCCCCATAACCTTATACCTTTAAAATTTAGATCTAAAGATAAGAAAACATATGGGTTTGTTTTTATAACTATGGAAATAGTCCTTTTCTAGCTATTGGGACAACACATAAAACGTGATATCTTGTACAGAAAATTAGAAGATTTGTCTGGCAAACTAGTAACTGTTTTTTTTATTAGATCTATTCTATGTTCAGTATTGCACCAAGGAAAATCAATAGTATAAAGACATATAGAAGGAAAACGATCACTGAAAAATATAGAAAATATAGAATAGTAATACTAAGTAAAATGATATCAAATTTAATCTGAAGCACAAACGAGCATTCCGAAGTCTTATTGCTCGTATGTTGTGATTGACTTACATTTCGTTTAAATATTTTTAATGAGACAATACATATAGAAGATGGATATTGTCATACTCATTTAACTTTAGTATAAATACTGAATATAAGAAAACATTTGGATTTGGATTTATAACGATGTAAATGGTACATCCTAGTTTTCACCGGCATACCCACCTGCAAGAATTTGAAAAGTTGATTTTAAAACTAAGGAATCAAGTTTATTTATTTATGCAATGATTTCTTAGTTATTGTTTGACATAAAAATGGAACGTCGAAGATAAAGACCTTTTTTAATGCTTAATTTGTCCTATATGAAGTCAATGAAAAGAATTGCACATGGACATTTTTCATAAAAAAAATCCAAATCTTTATCCCTGAAACGCTTACCTGGTGTATAATCCTCAGAATGTCACTTGTGTTAGCAAATACGTTCACTAATGTAATCAAAGGGAATACATTTTCACTAATTGCCTTAATAAGTTGCAAGAATGTTAACAATTATAAAGATGGGAATTGCTTTATAGAGCACCCAGATACTAATATCTTAAATTTCGCTTTTGACAGTACAAATTCAAAAACCTGAAATCAATTCAAACATGTGAACTTAGTAAATTTTGTACCAAATTGCCTGTAACAGTAAATAACATTTAAGATAAAGTACAATATGTTGCTTATAAATTTACTTACTACTGATTTAACTTTTTACAAGTAAAATTATTGTAATGTCTTTAGTAAAATTTCATTAATTTCAATATTTTTAAATGAAGGAACTTATCTTAAATAAATCAAATTTAAACGGTAATAACTGCCCTTCCCTAGATTTAGATATTTTAGTCACCAGAAACTCTACACAAAAATTTTCGACAAAAAGGACGATTTTGCTTTCCCTATTTTTAATTTTCCTTTTTGAGATGGTGATATTCCTTCTGCACCAACTCATTCGATATGCCCGTGTCTGTAGTGACGTTTTGGATTTCAAAGAACGTGTTCTATGTATTACTGGTAAATTATTAAGTCAGGGATTTCGTTACCACACATTACTTAAACCTTTACTAAATTCTTCCATAGATACAAAGATTTGGTTTGGAAGTTTGGCTGTACCTGTAGACGGGATAGTACATCCTAATTTTTACGGAGATGTTATTTACCGAGCCCGGAAATTTAGATACGATCCGGGTAAACTAATCGATCCTTTTAATAAGCTTTTTATAAAAGGTTACCAATTCAACGTTGTAATTAGATATTTAAATATTGTTTTTTATTGGTATAAATATTGATTTTGTTATCAGTTATACATTTGTGTCTCTTGACTCATACCGCTTAACAGCTTGATAAAGGTACCCTGTCGTCGCCGGTCTGTACCCTTTGTTCGTTATCGTAATGTAATCGTTATTTACATGATTTCCTCTACGAAAGTGAACATAGATTGAAGTCACCTTTTGTCGGGATTATTTTTAATTTATTGAGTTTACTTTTCATTGTGTTAATTGCTTCGGATTGAATATTGTCCTGGAATAAAAACTGCTCCCTGAGTTCAGTGCTATAATTGTCAAAATACAAATATGATCCTAAATATGACACCAAACGCACATCATGAGAATTTGTGAAATTGACTACTAAAGTATTTCTTTGTCATAACTTGATGGTTTTTGTTCTACCCGTCTAATAATGCGACTGCTGTCACACATACCACTGTTTACTGGAAAAACACTGGCCGTTAGTTTGAATATTTGTCTAAAAGTAAAATATTCAGTAATGCCAGGTATCATTCCTGTAGATCTTGCTATTCCTAGGGCAGCGGCAAATTGAAACATATGATTTCCCATTCTAGCCCTTGCGACAACACATACAACGTGCGATCTTTATAGAAATAAGAGAATTTTTTGGCGGACTAGTAAATTATTTGATTTTAAAGAGACGATAAATGTAGAAATGGGATAACCCCCATATAAATAAAGGCAACAGTAGTATACCGCTGTTCAATAGTCATAATTCGATTAAGCAAAAATTAATCCGGGTAACAAACTAAAACCGAGGGAAACACATCAACTATAAGAGGAAAACAACGGAACAACAGAAACACTGAACTACAACAAAAGCAAACGCCAACATACATAGAAACGGACTGTAGATACCAACTGCCATATTCCTGACTTGGTACAGGACATTTTAAGAAAAAATGGTGGGTTGAACCTGGTTTAAAGGCTAGCCAAACCTCCCGCTTATATGACAATGGTAAAAAATACCACTACAATGACAACACTACGTGACAGGAATACAGTACAAACAAACGCACGAACCCTCAGCACAGAGAAGTACATAAATAAATAACATAATAGTACATTACAACATGTAAACCGCAGAATAACAACGGACGACTCCCATGAATTTACGACAGCGCACCAGGACACCACAAACGAAATATAAACTGCGCGTCACATGAATGGATCAACGTCAGAAAAAGTGACGTATTTTTTGTGACGTTTATATTATCACAGGTAAATTTCTAAAAATAAAATATATTTGTTTTATTTGTAGACACGTACAAGAATATTAAATTGGGATTGAGTTTATAATGGTGTTATCTTATGTATTTTCTAACCATGACAAGAATATTAAAATGGAATTTTGTTTGTAATGGTGTTATTATTCATTTCTGTATTTTCTAACCATGTCGGTTTTTCTTCTAAATCAAAACTGTGTATAAACAAAAAATCCTGTGCATATAGTTGCTTTAAACTTAAAATCATATAAATGAAGTAGCTGATTTTTTATCTTAACTTTTACATACATATGGAAAATAAAAAATAAAATAACTGTAATATAAGCAAGATCCTGTAAGACCAAACAGTAAATACACACGAAAACAAACAACATAAAACAAAAATCCTGTAGACGAACCACGAGTAACTCGATTATACTGACAAATAAGACATATGTGAAAAACACCGAAAATACAAAATTCAAACCACAAACGAAATAAACAGACAACAAATCAGCACAAAATGACCCACCGGACCCTAACGTACTAAATACATGAATGTTGGATATATAAATACCGAGACACGTCGTATAGCAATGCGAATTAACACTCGGCAAAACAGTAATATTCGGGAATAGGTCACGTTCGGTACTAAGCAGACCAGACGACGTAGATGGTAAACCACAATCTAAGACGTGGTAAAAATGTCGTTAGTTAGTTTAGACACAGACACATCGTATAGATCAACCAATTCGTGATGGTGTCCATGAAATTTACGGAGTGTCATTTTTAATTTTTCCTCCTCATAACTCTGTTGGAGCAGTTTTTGCGTATGGAGCACACTCCTGTATATGAAGTCCGCATAGTGTGAACATGCACGAGCATAACGTATCAATTAAAATGTAAACACCATACGACGGCCAGAGGGTATGTTACTGCTGAGAAATGGGAAATTGATAATTGGGAAGTTGAAATCATCCCGTTTGTCATAGATTTTGTCTGTGTCAATATTGAGGAAAAGAACAAGGTATGAAGCAGTCCTTCTATCAGTAGTATCCTTAATTTCAAGTTCACTGGGATATATGGGATGCAAGTACTGAATGAAATGTGGTTTATTCAGTGATAGGACATCATCAATATATCTGAAAGTAAAATTATAGAACTTCGCAAGGTGCTTTTTCTTTTTGTCTTTTAGAAGGTTCTGAATGAATTCTACTTCATACGAGGTACAAAAACAAATCGGCCAGTTGGGGTGCACAATAAGTACCCATTGGAATACCGACTGTCTCTTGAAATATCAATCCTCCAAACTCAACAAATATATTGTCGATCAAAAAGTCCAGCATTTTGATAATATCATCTTCATATCTTTTACCTTTAAAATTCAAACTAAATAAAATATGATTATGTTTTTATAAGTATGGAAACAGTCTTTCCTATTCTAGCTATTGCGGTAACACGTACAACGTGAGATATATTAAGAAATTGGAGGATTTGTTTGGCGAACTAGTAACTGTTTCCTGTCGTAAAGCTTTTTAAAAATAAGGAGATGTGGTATGATTGCCAATGAAACAACTATCCACCAGAGTTCAAAAAGTTAAATCACAAAAATACTGAACTCCGAGGAAAATTCAAAACGGAAAGTCCCTAATCAAGTGGCAAAATCAAAAGCACAAACACATCAAACGAATGGACAACAACTGACAAAAGAAGTGGACGTAAGCAGTTGTTAAGTATTGCACCAAGA